GGAACTTTCTCACCTGCCTCACTATTTTGTTGGAGGCTGACACAAGGTCATTACACATCCACCTCCCTAGTTTCAACTGAGCACAGGATGTTCCTCCTTGCCTCATCTTAGGGTACAGCTGTGGGCTCCTCACTGGCAGAGCAATCCACCATCTGTGCTGTCACTGAGTACCTCGGATTCAGTGTTGAACTGTGGAACTAGGGAAACAGGGAGCTGACACAATGTTGATCTTCCTTTTGCTGTGTCTGTAACTAATATACTGTTTGGATCCATTTGGGCTCATTGTCTTCTTACTGGCTGAATCTATGGAAGTGTGATAAGCCAATCTAACAACTGCAGTAGTGATCCTTGTGGCCCTATTAGCCAAAGCAGTGCTTCTTAGAGACTGCTTGATCACTTGACAGAGCAGAATATTGACTTAATTTCCTTGGCACCACACAGAGCAAGGAGCAGTTCTCAGCACATATGACTTAGGGCAACCTTTGCCAGACTTCAGTTATTAGAATAGATGCCATATCTGGCACTAGCTATATTGCTATTAACATATTTATTTGAATCAAATAAGTTTCTGGACTCAAAATCATTGAAAAAGTTAACTTGATAGCCCTACTTGAAATTCAAAAACAATATAACTTGTTAGAGATGTAATAATAATTGTAAATGTAAATGAAATAAAAATATTTCAAAATTTAAATGATGTATACCCCATACCACCCTGAACGTGCCTGATTTTATCTGAAAATTTAAATAAAAAACGGATACTAGAAGGTTGTGAAGGAAGGGTAAGGAGAAGGGGGGAATAGGGATAGATTTGTTAAAGCAGCAGTCCCCAACCTTTTTGGTACCAGGGACCGGCTTCATGGAAGACATTTTTTCTTTGGACCAGGGGGATAGGGGTGAGGTGCCATGGGTGTGTGTGTAGGGGGCTGGTGCAGAGCTCAGGTGATGATATGCAGCCTATTTCCTAACAGGCCATGGACTGGTACCAGGACACAGCCCAGGGGTTGAGGACTGCCGTGATAAAGGATACAAAGTTATAGCTAGATAAGAGGAATAAGTTCTAGTGTTCTATACCACTGTAGGATGACTATAGTTAACAATATATGGTTTTGTTAGGTCTGGTGCCAAAGGGGAGACACATAAAGCCTCAGGTATAGAAAAATGCTGTTTATTTGAATATCTGGGTGCAGATGGGTAGAGGCCAAAAAGAGCATCCACACTGAGGGAGGGGAAGCTTTAGGTTTTATAGAGTGTTTTTCCAGGGGAGAGTAGAGTAATTGGGTCAGAATAGCCACTGTAATGAATTCTTATTAAACAGCTAGTCCCTGGGACCCCTGCATTGGTCACATCCTGTAACTCCAGCATTGTCCTTATCAGAAGAGATAAGGAGGGATAAGGAATGCAAATTCCCCTCTTGCATTCTATTCCTTTCTCTCTCTAGGGGTCTGGCAATGGCTACATGCCTAATAAGCTTCAAATACCTAGGAGGATATTGAATGTTCCCAACACAAAGAAATGACAAATGTTTGAGATGATGGATGTGCTAATTACCCTGATCACATTATATGTATCTCAACATCACTGTGTACCCCATAAATATGTATAATTACATCAATTTAAAAAAATTAAAAAATATATAGAATATAACTAAAATCCAAATCTATCTGCAATATAATACTTCATGTTATCTCACTTATTCTCCATAGCAATCACGTAGTGTAAATATTTTATTTGTACTTTACAAATAGGGATACAGAGCCAAAAGATGGAAGTATCTTTCCCACCATCTCAAAGTCAGTATGTGTGTCAGATCCAGGATGGAAACCCATGCCTACTTCATGCCATGGCCTGTAAGGAGATAGTGTAGGAAGGACCCAAGTAATTTTTCTTCAGCAAGTTCCCCTGGTTGCTTTCCTTTTTTTTCCCTAACTAGGTCTTAATCCTTTCATCCAGCTCTGTAGCCTAAGAATTTTTCACATATTTGGACAAAATGGGATACCTTATATTTAGTCTCACTTTTTATTTGAATGTTGGATTTCCAGTCCTTTTGGACCAAGAAATATTTTTAAACCTGTATAAGAAGGATAAATAATTGCTGTGTATAATTTCCTGCCATTCTCCAAGCAGGGTTGTAGGACCCTTTGTTGCAGAATTATCTTTTTGGGTATAAGGATGTAAATGGAGCTCAGAGTCGTAATTCTTGTATTTTGTATAGTAATAGGGATATAAGGCTGGAACCAGGCAGCTGGAGGGGCTTCTGAATGAGATGTAGTGACTGTGAGGCTGATGGAGTTTTATGTAGAGGAAAAAAAGGTTGTTGCTTCTCCCTCTCCGCCTCTTGGTAACTTTTGAAGAAAGGTCAGTAGTGTTTGCTGGAGATATTGTGCCATTTTTCTATGGGGATTGTGACAAAGGTTCTTTTCTGTGTGTCCCCACAAACTATTCCAAATAGCTTTATTCTTCTAGTTATATTTTTCTGTAGCACAGTAAAGTAGGTATATTATTATTAGAAATTTTTAAATGTTCATTTTTACACCAATGACTTCATCTGGGACATGATGTGAGAACTATGTGTCACATTTTAGGAAACACTTCCTTCAAAAGAAGAACAAACCCTTTTATTTTAAACAATAAAGTATATGTAAATATTACTTTATATTTATATGAAAATATCAGATTGCCACTAAAATTATATACAATATCAGTTCTGCATTCAACACTTTCAAAATTACTTGGTTTGAGAAAAAGAAAGGGATTTGAACTTAGAACTTGAATCCCCAAATATGCTTCTTACTAAAATCAGATACTGTAAATTTATAGAAACTGGCTCACCATTTTTAGGATTAAATGAGTTCATAAACATATAGAATCTAGCATGGAGAAGTGGCTAACAGATAATACACACTCTATAAATGTAAGTTATTATTATTTCTGTTATAGTTAGGTAATGAACTCAATAAATAGAGCTGTTGTCATAACTATACACAGATCTAGGGTCACCTGACACATTGAAGACCATGTGTCACAGATCATGTGTCACAGATCAAAATTATCTAGACAAATTAAGAGTGGTGATTTTTAACTTTCTGTGAACAGGAGGTTATTATCAGCATAGAAACAGAATCAAGTAGTTTTCAGAGTAACAGCATCATTACAGGGAATATGGGCCTTCTAAAGTTTGAAGACATGGGAAGCTGGAGCTGTCCCTTCTGTCTCTCTCTTTTAAATAGGGTCCAATGCTAAAAAGGAGATGCAATCTAGAAATAGCTGAACAGAGAAAAGCCTAGCCCTACATTACTCAAAGTCTTGCATAGACTTCAGTTCCAAAGAATAAAAAAAGAGGCTTTATATAGCCCAATTCATTTTATGAAGCTAGTGTAACCTTGATACCAAAGTCCAACAAAGAGAATACATGAAATAAAAGTATACATTAATGTGGCCATGAGGCTAAATTATTCAAAAAGGATAAGTGTGGGCCGGGTGTGGTGGCTCATGCCTGTAATCCTAACACTCTGGGAGGCAAGGTGGGCGGATTGCTCAAGGTCAGGAGTTCGAAACCAGCCTGAGCGAGACCCCGTCTCTACTAAAAATAGAAATAAATTGACCAACTAAAAATATATATACAAAAAAATTAGCCAGGCATGGTGGGACATGCCTGTAGTCCCAGCTACTTGGGAGGCTGAGGCAGTAGGATCACTTGAGCCCATGAGATTGAGGTTGCTGTGAGCTAGGCTGACACCACAGCACTCACTCTAGCCTGGGCAACAAAGTGAGACTCTGTCTCAAAATAAATAAAAAATAAAATTAAAAAAAAAGGATAAGTGTGATGGAATCAAGTGTCCATCAACAGATGAATGGATAAAGAAAATGTGGTACATACACACAATGTAGTAATTCTGCTATTAAAAAAATGAAATCATGTCATTTGCAGCAACATGGATAGAACTTGCAGTCATAATGTTGAGTGAAATAAGCCAGGCACATAAAGACAAATATAAGCATGTTCTCACTTAAATGTGGGAACTTAAAAAGTTGATCTCATAGAAGTGATACCAGAGGCTGGGAAGGGTGTGTGAGTGGGGGGTGATTAAGAGAGGTTAGTTAATGGGTACAAACATACAGTTATATAGAAGGAATAAGTTCTAATGTTTGATAGCAGAGTAGGGTGACTATTGTTAACAATAATATAGTGTATATTTCAAAATAGGTAGAGGAAAGGACTTGAAATGTTCCTAACACATAAAAATGATAAATACTGAAGGTGACAGATACCCTAAATACTCTAACTTGAGCATTATGCATTCCAGATGCATGTAACAAAATATCACATGTACCCCATGAATATGTATAAAAAATTATTTACCAATGAAAAACAAAAAGGATAATGTCATGGTCAATTTTTTCCCCTAGGAATGCAAGGTCAGTTATAGAAACTTACCAATGTAATTCACTACATTAACAGATTAATGGAGGAAAAATATTCCTATGATCATCTAAACAGACACACTGAAAGTTTTTGATGAAAATGAATACAAATTCAAGCTAAATGTTCTTAGTAAACTAGGAATGGAATGGAAATTCTTTATTCTGATAAAATATATCTACAACATGGAAACATGGTGAAATGTTTAAAAATTTTCATTTCCCATCAGACATAAGACAAGAATGTCCACTATTACCAGTTCTACTCAATGTTGTATTGGGTGAGTCTGATTCGGTGTTCTAAAGTGGGAAAAGGAAAAAAAGTATAATGTCAAAACAAGTTGTTATTATTCAAAGATGATAAGATTGTGTATGTTGAAAATTAAAAAGGATCTATAGATAAATTTGGAATAAGCATATTCAGCAAGGTTGCTGGATAGAAAATCAATATACAAACATTATACTTTTACGTACCAGTTCAGGCAGAATAGAAAATATCAAAATAACACAATTTTTAATAGTATTAAATAGCTAAGAATAAATTTAACAAAAGATGTACAAGACTTATTTGGAGAAAATTGTAAAATTTTATTGAGATAATTTTAAGTCAAACATCCAATATAAGAACAGCTTGCACTGTTTCACCTTGTCTTCATTTAAACCTGTGGTTGCCCTTCACCTATAATATAAACATAACAGTAGGGAATATTACTAAGAAGAACTTTATTTAGATTACATGAAAGGCATGCAAAGGCCACTAAAATTTTGGTTTTATAAAATGGACTAAAACTAGAACCCTAAGAATCATCCTTTTGCTTATATCCAGTAAAACTTCTGTAAAGACTTTCAAGATAGACTTCTAAGCATGTACATTATTAATATTTTTAGACATACCCTGCTTTCTAGAGGTACAAGGAAAGAGACTGTTTAAGGTCACAACAGATGAATTCAAATGAACCTATTAAAAGGTGGTTTAAAGTAGAAAGCAAATCTAACCAACACACAAAAAAACTAAAAACAAAAGTAATTTACAAAAATTCATAATTTAAATATTTTTACTTGAAATAGTATTCTGAATATAAGATAGCTAAACAGGTAATGTCACATTAGGAAGTGTATAAGGGAATTGAACAGAAAGGCCAGTATTGCATTTGTTTTTTTCTCTATTGTGCAGAAGTGCAAAAATGTTTCTTTGGACTAGTATAGCCCTTTTTGTGGTTTCTTAAGTAGGTAACCATTTGTCCCAAGTTTCCACCTCTAGTCCTGGTGTAATTATTAATAATTCCTCTTTTTACAGTTGAAAACATTCCATTTTACATAATAAATTATATGGTCACACTAGTTTTAAGCCATTACCATCATTTTTGACATCAAAACATGAAGGAACTAAGTACCGTGTCTCTCAATATGGCAAAAATTAGAAAGAAAGAAAGAAAATAATGAAGAAGATGGGAAGGGAAAGTAAGACACCTGGAAAAGTCAAGCATTTGTTTCTAAAAGTGCATGCTTTTGAAGGACAATTGCAAATTGTAGAAGTTCTTCAGTGGTACTTGTGATGTTTAGATATTCAGGTATTACTGGAATATATTAAATTAACGCATGCTTTTATAGCATATCAATCATTCCATTCATATTTTGAAATTAATGTATTCACTTTCAATTATACAATACATTCAATATCTGTTAGTATCTTGTTCATATTCCTTGTTGGGTTTTTCCATTTTCTTCAAGATTATGTAAATTACTGGATACTCTATTCATAGCTATTATTAAAAAAAGCAGTCTTTTAAATTTATTAGTTGGATTACTTTTCCTTTTACTAATGATTCATATTTGCCTTTTATTAAGTCCCTCTTTCCTTTTCCCTTAGGTTTATTCTGTTGCTCTGTTATTATTTTTATAATGTGTGCTCATGTAATTTATTATCTATTTTAATAACATGCATTTAAGGCTATGATCTTCCTAAGAGTAAATTTAGTCATGTTCAATAGGCTCCTGGAAGTAGTCTAAACACCACTTTTTAATGTAAATAGTCTAATGAAATGATTCAACAGCATAGAGTAAAAACATTCAGAAAACTAATGTAAGGTAATTTCTTCCCTAAACAGTAAGCACTTCCTTTAAACTCAGAAGCTCTTGTAATTAACAGTCAGCAATTTAGAAATGTGTAAAATACACTTATGTTGACTAACTAGGAATTACTACATTATGGTCTTTGAACTTCAAATCCTATCAATTGATGTCTCAAGGTAGAAACTTGTAATATGCAACATCTGATATGGTTAGAGGTGATTATATCATATAGTATCTTATCTACAGTCTTATTAAAAATAGTAGCTCAAGAAGACTGACAATGGAGCAGGAAGCATGCTTAGCATTGGCATCTTACTCATCATCAATATCACTGATTTACATTCAATATCCCTACTTGATCAACAACAGAAACCAGACTATCTTTTGCCACTTTATTATTCAGTCATTCAAAGCTTTGTTATGGGAAGGATTTAACATGCAATTATTCTTTAATAGCCAGATAATTCAGAATTTGACAAAATCTAAAAACATGTATTAAGGTCTCCATACAGAGAAACAAACATTAAACAGAGTATCTGCTTATTTTCTTAGGATCAATGAAATCTCAATTCAGATAATATAATTTGACTCAAGCCAATATTTTATGATAAACAAATCATGGAAAACAGATTATCTTTGTATTCTATCCAACACAACCAGAGAATACAAAACTCAGCACTGAAAATGATTTTGATATATCTGATTTGAATTCACTGTTTTCAATAAGAGTAAATATGGGTTTAGAAACTGGGATTTGTCCAGAATTTCAAAAATTATGTTAGAGCTGGTCCTAGAGGCTTCTTCAGTGCCTCAGCATATTTCATGCAAACTGCAAATATATTATGTATTTGTTAAAGGAAGAAATTATAAAAGAATATCAAAATTGTTAGCTGTTGGTTATACTCAAAAGTAAGAAAATGCTTTCATATATAATGATCCAATATGACTTTGTTTCTGTATCTGACAGTGGTTAAGCCATGCAGTCAGATATGCGGGGTCTGACTACCTTTCAGATCTTTATATTTGAACTCTATTATTAGAGTAGCAGTAATGCCATCACTATATTATTAAAAACATAATACTGTAGAAAACAAATCCATATAATTTTGCATCTTAATGGATAATATACCTGCTTCTGGCACTTGAAAGGGTTCTAGATTTGACAGAATCTCCCCCTTGACATCAGGACCATCTCCGCGTTTACCTCCTGTCTTTGCCTCAGAGAATTCCAGGAGATCAGCTTCTATGTCAGGCTCTTAAAAATAAAAAGGTTATCAATGACCATACAACCAAAGCTGATCTACAGATTTAATGCAATCTCTATCAAGATACCAATAACATTCTGCAAAGAATTAGGAAAAACAATCCTAAACTTCATATGGAACCACAGGAGACCCTAAATAGCAAAGCAATCCTTACGAAAAAGAACAAGGCTAGTAGCATCACAATACCTGACTTCAAAATATGCTACCAAGGTACAGTAACCAAAAAAGCATGGTACTGGCATAAAAAGAGACACACAGACCAAGAGAACAGAATAAAGAACCCAGATATAAATCCACAGATTTACAGCCAACTGATTTTACACAAAGGCACCAAGTACATTCAGTGGGGAAAGGACGGTCTCTTCAGTAAATGGTGCTGGGAAAATTGGATATCTATATGCAGAAAAGTGAATCTATGCCCTATCTCTCACTAAATATAAAAATCAAATCAAAATGGATGAAAGATTTAAATATAAGACCTGAAATTAGGAAACTACCAGAAGAAAACATTGCGGAAATGCTTCAGGACATTGGTCTACTCTAGACAGAGATTTTCTTGGGTAAGACCTGAAAACCACAGGCAACAAAAGTGAAAATAAACAAATGGGATTACTTCAATCTAAAAAGCCTCTGCACAACAAAGGACAATAGTGAAAGACAACCTACAGAATAGGATAAAATATCTGAAAACTATCCATCTGACAAAGGATTAATAAGCAGAATATATAAGGAACTCAAAAAACTCAATAGCAAAAAAACAATCAAATTTTAAAAATGGGCAAATAAGCTGAATAGACAATTTTTTAAAAAGACATACAAATGGCCAACAGGCATATGAAAAAAATGCTCATTGTCACCAATCATCAGGGAAATGCAAGTCAAAACCACAGTGAGATATCATCTCACTTGTTAAAATGCCTATTATCAAAAAGACAAAAAAATAGATGCTGAAGAGGATGTAGACAAAGGGAAACAGTAGTACACTGCTGGTGGGACTGTGAATTAGTAGAGCCACTATAGAACACAGTATGGATATTGCTCAAAAAGTAAAAATAGATCTACTATATGATCCAGCTGGGCATATATCCAAAAGAAAGGATATCAGTATATCAAAGAGAAATGAACATACCCATGTTTATTGCAGCACTATTCATAATAGCCAAGATATGGAATTAACCTAAATGTCCATAAACAGATAAACTGATAAAGAAAATATAATATGTATACACAATGGAATAATATTTAGCCATAAAAATATTGAAATCATGTAATTTGGAGCTGGAGATCTTATATTAAGTGTCATCAGCCAGGCACACAAAGACAAATATCACACGTTCTCACTCATATGTGGGAGCTAAAAAGTGGATCTCATGGAGCTAGAGAGTAGAATGACAGTTATTACAGGCTGGGAAGGGTGGAGGAGCTGAAGAGAGGTTCATACAGAAATACAATTAGATAGAGGAATATGAGTAAGTTCTAGTGTTTAATAGCACAGTAGGTTGACTAGAATTAACAATAACTGTATATTTCAAAATAGCCAAAAGGAAATATTTGAAGTGTTTTCAATACAAAGAAATGATAAATGTTTGAGGGGATGGATAACCTAATTACCCTGAGTTGATCATTACATATAGTATGCATATATGAAAATATCACATGTACACCATAAATATGTAGAATATATGAACAAACATAAAAGGCTACTGAATCTGGGTGCACCAAGGTTGGGGTGCATATACATTTAGAATTGTTATGTCCTGATGTTGAACTGTACCCTTCACCATTAGAGTGACCTTCTTTGTTTTTATTACTTTTGTTGATTTAAAAACTAAGTTATCTGTAATCACCACCACCACGCCAGCTTTCTTTTGACTTCCATTTGCTTAAAATATTGCTCTTCACCCCTTTACCTTTAGTCTAATTGCTTCCTTGCAGGTTACAGGTGTTTCCTGAAGGCAGCAGATACTTAGCTTGTGTTTTTTTATCCATTCGGTCAGCCTATGTCTCTTGAGTGGGGAGTACAAGCCATTCACATTTATTGAGATAACTGATAGGTGGGGCATATTTCTGTTCATTATGTTGGGTTGAACTTTGTTGCTTTGTTTTCTCTTTTGAGCCATTTTAGTATCTGGGCTTTGATCATTAGCTCTGAGTAGATTTACTTTCGTGAGTGTTTATCGTGCTGATCCATGGGTAAAACTGTTTTGAGTACTTCTTGTAGGGCTGGTCTTGTCTTGGTGAATTCCCTCAGTCTTTGCTTATCTGAGAATGTCTTGATTTCTCCTTCATATACAAAACTTAGTTTTGCAGGGAATAAGATTCTAGGCTGGGCATTGTTTTGTTTCAGAAGAGTGAGAATGGGGCCCCAGTCTCTCCTTGCTTGTAAAGTCTCATTAGAGAAGTCTGGTGTTATTCGAATTGGCTTTCCTTGTATGTTACTTGCTTCTTTTGTCTTAACAGCTCTTAGAAGGGCCTCTTTAGTTGATATTTTGGTCAGTCTGATGACTGTATGTCGTGACGTCTTCCTGTTTGCATTGAATCTCCCAGGGGTCCTCTGAGCTTCTAGAACTTGTACATCAAGATTTTGAGCAAGGCCTGGGAAATTTTCCTCTATGATATCTTCAAATAGCTTGTCCAACCCTTGAGTGTTTTCTTCTTCCCCTTCTGGTAACCCTGTGATCTAAACAAATGGAGAAACACCACCACCATAATATTTGGAGACTTTAACACTACACTGACAGCACAGGACAGATCCTCCAAAAAGAAAATCAACACAGAAATAATGGACTTAAACAGAACCCTAGAACAAATGGGTCTGACTGACATTTACAGGACATTTTACCCCCAAACCAGTGAATATGCATTCTTCTCATCAGCTCATGGGTCATTCTCTAAGAATGACCATATCCTAGGACTAAAAGCAAGTCTCAAACAACTTAAAAAAATAGAAATTATACCATGTATCTTTTCAGACCACAATAGAATAAATGTAGAAATTGATCCTAACAGGAGTCCTCATTTCTACAGAAAGTCATGGAAAGTAAACAACCTTCTGCTGAATGATCACGTCATAAACGAGGAAATCAAGATGGAAATCAAAAGATTCTTTGAACTAAACGACAAAGGTGGCACAAGTTACCAAAACCTGAGGGACACAGCTAAAGCAGTCCTGAGAGGAAACTTTATTTCCATAAATGCCTATATCCAAAAGTCGAAAAGATCACAAATAGACAACCTAATGAATCATCTCAAAGAGCTGGAAAAAGAAGAACAGACCTGCTCCAAACCCAGCAGAACAAGTGAAATCATTAAGATCAAATCAGAACTAAACGAAATTGACAATAGGACAACTATATGGAAGATTAATAAAACAAAAAGTTGGTTCTCTGAAAAAATTAAATTGACACACCATTGGCTAGATGAACAAAAAGCAGAAAAGAAAAATCTCTAATAAGCTCCACCAGGAACAATAAAGGAGAAATTATAACTGATTCCACGGAGATACAAGATATAATTTATGAATACTACAAAAACCTCTATGCACACAAACTGGAAAATGTGGAGGAAATGGGCAATTTCTTAGAAACACACAGCCTCCCTAGGCTCATCCAGACCAATATCAAGTATTGAAATTGAAACAGCAATAAAAAACCTTCCTAAAAAGAAAAGTCCTGGACCAGATGGTTTCACACCTGAATTTTACCACACCTACAAGGAACTGGTGCCTATCCTGCAGAAATTATTCCACAACATAGAGAAGGATGGAATTCTCCCCAACACATTTTATGAAGCAAACATAACCCTGATACCAAAACCAGGGATGCAACTAAAAAAGAAAACTACAGACCAATATCCCTTATGAATATAGATGCAGAAATTCTCAACAAAATCCTAGCCAATTGAATCCAGTTGCTTGTCAAGAAAATAATCCATCACGACCAAGTGGGCTTCATCCCAGGGATGCAGGGATGGTTCAACATACGCAAATCAATAAATGTAATCCACCATATAACGAGAAGCAAAAACAAAGACCGTCTGATCCTCTCAATAGACGCAGAGAAAGCATTTGACTAAATTGAACACCCTTTTATGATAAGAATGCTCAACAAAATAGACATCGACAGGGCTTACCTAAAAATGATACATGCCACATATGATAAACCCACAGCCAATATCATACTGAATGGGGAAAAACTGAAAGCATTCCCACTTAGAACTGGAACAAGACAAGGTTGCCCACTATCTCTACTTCTATTCAACATAGTGCTGGAAGTCCTCGCTACAGCAATCACACAAGATAGCAGAATTAAGGGCATCCAAATGGGAGCAGAAGAGATCAAACTCTCACTCTTTAGATGACATGATATTATACCTAGAAAACCCCACGGATTCAACCATGAGACTCCTTGATCTGATAAATGAATTTGGTAAAGTCTCAGGATACAAAATCAATACACAGAAATCAGAGGCATTCATATATGCCAACAACAGTAAAAGCGAGAACCAAATTAAAGACTCAATTCCCTTCAAAATAGCAACAAAGAAAATAAAGTACCTACGAATATATTTAACTAAGGAGGAAAAAGACCTCTACAGGGATAACTATGAAACACTGGAGAAGGAAATAGAAGAGGACGTAAACAGGTGGAAGAATATACCATGCTCATGGGTAGGCAGAATCAACATTGTTGAAATGTCTATACTACCCAAAGTGACCTACAGAGTCAATGCAATCCCTATTAAAATACCATCATTTTTCACAGATATAGAAAAAATAATTTTACGCTTCATATGGAACCAGAGAAGACCTCGAATAGCAAAATCAATCATAGGCAATAAAAACAAAATAGAAGGTATCAATTTACCAGACTTGAAACTATACTACAAGGCTATAGTCATTAAACAGCTTGAGACTAGCACAAGAACAGGGACATTGGCCAGTGGAACAGAACAGAGAACCCACATATAAAACCATCCTCACATTGCCAAC